ACAGCCATCTTTGTATCTTACTGAATGTTGCATGTTTTGAACTTTTCTGCTTTTATTTTTAAAAAAACCTAACCAGTATGCAGAAGTGCAGTCAAGGACAAAAGAAAGATCAGGTCACTTTTACAGTGACGGGGCAAGCCGTTATTGTTGTTATGCTGAGATAAATTAGTAGCCAGGACAGTGTTGGGGTGAGTAAGGCACTGAGCAGAAATGAAGGGGCTTTCTGATCAAGCATTGTCAGGAAACAGCATTCCAGGGAGTCCTAATGCAGATCCAGCTGATGTGTCTTGAAGTGGGGTTGCCTGAGCTACGAAATTCATACAAATGGTTTGGTCAATAGTGCTCTGTTATTGTTCATGTAATATTGCCACGATTAACAGGAATGTATTATTTATTTATTTATTTTTGGATTTATATCCCGCCCTCCCCGAAGGCTCAGGGCGGCTAACATTCTCAGCCTTTTACAATGGTTATAGGTTGGCACTTTTCTCATACTACATTCATGAGTACGTGTCTGATTAGGACTTGGCTATTGCTGCTCGCAGGAGCTGCGGTGGCTCAAGCGGTTAAGACACTGAACTGCAGGATGTGGTAGGTTGGTAGTTCAGCAGTTCGAGACCCAAGTGTGCCGCATGACGGAGTGAGCTCCCGTCTCTAGTTCCAGCTCCTGCCAACATAGCAGTTCGAAAGCAAGAAATTGCAAGTAGATAAATAGGTACCACTTCAGTGGGAAGGTAACAGCGTTCCGTGCGCCTTGGTGTTTAGTCATGCCGGCCACATGACCACGGAAATGTCTTCTGACAGCGCTGGCTCTTTGGCTTGGAAACAGAGATGAGCACCGCAGCCCTAGAGTCGGATTCGACTGGCTTTTGAGCAAGGGAACCTTTACCTTTACCTTTTTATTGCTGCTCGCACAATTAAGGGGTCATGGGGAGGGCTTATGGCTCAGTGTCAGAGCATCTGCTTTGCAGGCAGAAGGTCTCAAGTCCAGTCCCTGGATCAGATGATGTGGAAGACAAATGCTCTGATTCCGTTTGCATGCAAATTAGTATATCAGCCTTTTCTGTTTGGCCTCTGCTACTTAGTACCATGCAGTATAAGGCAGGTTTGTGTGTTCAATCTATACTATCCTTCACACATGCTGTGCTTTGAATTTCTGCTTCACAATGAACATCTCAAGGTCTTTACATCTTTGTTGTGTTGCACTGAAAGGAAGGACCAAGATGTGTTGAAGCAATGATAACAGTAAAGCAATTAAAATTATTTTTGAACACTCTCAGATAGTTTAAAGAAAGATACTAGGCCATACTTGGAGGAGGCATTGGATATACTTCTGTGTAATCATTAATTCTTGGTAAACCTTTTGTTAATGGGATTTTAAAAGATTTATTATTAATACATATGATAGCTGAAACCACTCATTAAACTGTGTTTATTGTATTTAAACAGCAAACAGATAAAAGCAATTTCATAAATGGTATGATAATGAAGGTGCTTGTATGATCATCTTTGTAAACAAACCCATTCTGCAAACAAAGGAGATAATTAACGAGATATCCGGTTAATTAGTGTACTCATCAAAGGATGAATTCCTACTTGAGTTACTGATGCAGAATTCCTGTAGGAGATAAATGAACCAATATTGGCTGATTATCAAGCCTAGAAGTATGCTTCAAATTATTAGCATCACAAGTTGAATCATCCAGGAGACAGGATTATTATTTTCCAGTCTGCATTTCTTATAATTCATATGATTCAGAGGCAGGATGATATACACGCTCTGTGTTTATAAATCTGCCGTAGAATTTGATAGGTAGAGAGGTTGACACTCAAGACTTCTAGCTTATATTTTTGAAAAGTGTCGATGGTTCCTGAAAATGTGTGGGCACTTCATGCTGCGCAGGAGCCAAAAAGGGGGGGGGAGTGTGAGGTGGAACTGGGCATGAGTTTCCAGGGGACCTCAATATTTAGAGGCAGCGAACGTGTAAATGCCAGTGAAAGGAGGTAACATGAGGGGAAGTCTCTATGCCTTGGATTGATTGCCAGTGAAAGGAGGTAACATGAGGGGAACATTTGTTGGCTTTCCAAGGCAGCTGGTTGACCTCTACGTGACACAGGATGCTTGAACTAGATGGACCATTGGTTTGATCCAGCAGCACTGTTCTTATGGATTCAGGTTGTATATGGAAATACGATGTGCTGTGCACATCCCAACCTGAGCCTGGTTTCCTTGGCTTCAATTCCATGCCCATTTGTTCCTTCTGTTTTCCTAGTCCTGACCAAAGGTTTCAAAATTGATTGAAAATCAGTCTTTGAAGCATCCTAAAGAAGACACATGGCAAATCTGCTAACGGTGGCACTTCCCCATGGCACAAAGAACTGCAGGAAAGCACTGTGGTGAGCAGAACAGGCCCATAGGATCAAACTTAACTGGTTTTTTTAAGTATAAAGTTTCTTTTGATTATAGTGCCTAGACTTCAGTGTGTAGAGAAGAGTGTTTTTAGCTGCTCTGATTTGGGGGAATATTTACATTCCCACTGAATTGAGATAGGAAATGTCTTACAGTGTGTGTTTCAGTCGTCTTTGGTGGCACAAATAGACTGGCTGTTCTTGTTCCCAAATTGTTAAAGATTGAGAATGGAGGTTGAGAATCATTGCTTTCTTGTCCTGGCTAAAGATGCCATTCCAGTAAGGCAAGGTTCAAAGCAAAGCTTTGGCTACAAGGTGGTGGACGATGCTGTCACGTTGCAGCCGACTTATGGTGACCCCACAGGGTTTTCGAGGCAAGAGACATTCAGAGATGGTTTGCCAGCCTCTGTGCAGCAACCCTGGACTTCCCTGGTGGTCTCGCATCCAAGCACTAACCAGGGCTGACCCTCCTTAGCTTCCAAGAGACTGGGCTAGCCTGGACCAGTGTGGTTATTTGGATATTAAAGGTAAAGGTTCCCTTCCTCGAAAGCCAGTCGAAGCCGACTCTAGGGTTACGGTGCTCATCTCCGTTTCAAAGCCGAAGAGCCAGTGCTGTCCGAAGATTTCTCTGTGGTCATGTGGCCGGCATGACTAAACACCAAGGCGCACGGAACGCTGTTACCTTCCCACCGAAGGGGTACCTATTTATCTACTTGCAATTTCTTGCTTTCGAACTGCTAGGTTGGCAGGAGCTGGAACTAGAGGCGGGAGCTCACTCCGGCATGCGGCACACTCGAGTCTCGAACTGCTGAACTACCAACCTTCCACAGCCTGCAGTTCAGCGTCTTAACCACTTGAGCCACCGCCTGCATTTGGATAGGATTAAATTGCAAAATAAATAAATAATCAAACCAGTATGTTTTACAAACATTTGTTATAGTTATTTTTTTCAATAACTTCAATATTTCAATTAGAAATATAGGCGTAAATACCTGTAGGGTAGTTATGTTTCATTGCAGTCCTATGTACAGTTCCTCTAGTCTATGCCTATTAAAATAAATGGACCTAGACTGGTATAAGTATCCATAGGATTGCACTGTCAGTGTGAGATCTTTTCAGTTGTTACAGTTCTTTTGCTCAAATAGTAAATAAGGGGAGAATGCACTAGTCACAGCCCATCGAGTATACATAGCTGCCTTTTGTGTCAATAGGACAATGCACTTGGTTTTCCAAATTCAGTATGCACAGACATGTATGCCCCCAAAAATCTGGATATCTGACCATATGTACTGGAGCCTGAAAATATGTGCATTGCCCTCTCTGCACAAAATGGTGACCGTGTGCATCTACTTGTATGTGCAGTTTTAGTACCAAAATTTTAATGATTGGAAAGGGCTACAGTTGCCGAGGAGGAGGTCATCTACTAAAACAATCAATCAGTTCTCTCAGCCCCACCAACCTCACAGGGTGTCTGTTGTGGGGAGGGGAAGGGAAAGGAGTTTGTAAGCCGCTCTGAGACTCCTTTGGATAGTGGAGGGCGGGGTATAAATCCAATCTCTTCTTCTTCTTCTAAATATAGTTTTCTGGATATTTCCCACTAATAATTTAAGAGGAGGTTTGTTGAATAACCTGGGTTGGAATTATGCAGTTTAAAGATTTATCCCATTTTATTTTTAAGAAACTAGGTTCCTTTGTAGGGATAGTTTAATAAACACTTTTATAATCAAGACAATATTCCTCTTGTTTCTCATTTTTAATATATTATATCCTCAAATTCTGATAAGGTGTGTTACGTAGTTTGTCTTGTGCTGTTTTTGTGTTACTGTAATGTTTTAATTAAAAATGCTGAAACCATTTTACATCTATATTATTTTCCATTAAACTTGCCATGGTACATGTGGGTCATCTACTAAAACAATCAGTCAGTCTAACATGATCATTATTCACCCAGCTCCACCACAGCTTTGTAATATAAAAGATTCCAAGGGTGAAATTGTTTGGCTCAAATAAGATTGCAATCTGTCCCATGTTATCAAAAACATCTATTAAGTTATTCGGGGTTTTTCAAGCAACTTGTACACAGTTTATGAAACTTATTAGAATACCAAGGAAGACAAGCTAGTGGGATGCGTGAACAATTATGCTCAAGAACATACCAAGGGACATTCTTACCACTTCAGAAGCCATTTATAAATAAATTTTAATTTACTAGCTCGATAGTATCTCAAAAGATTTGGACACATTAAGCCTCCTTCTTGCTTTTGTCTTTGAAAATCAGCCAAAGCTACAGCGACCATTCAAAACACCTGCCATTGGCAATAAAACTGCTTAACGTAACTAGGTTAACATCTTTAGTGGGTTAAGAAAGGTATTTGCTCTGTTTTAACTCCTGCTCAGTAGAATTAAATTCTAATTCCGCAGTTCCTAGTGGAGTTATCACATCTAGTCCGAAGCATGAGAAGGGGGTGGCTACTCCCCTTCTGTAATGGTCCATTTTCTCTGGCCTCAAGGATGTGAGCAGCTCAGTCTCCCGTCCCCCTCAAAAAAACATTAATGTTACTCAAGGGTGTGCTTTCTACTTTTTCTTCCAGGATGTGTTGGTAGCTGGGATAACCTAACTTGCTGGCACTCTGCAGAATTTGGAGAGATCGTGACAGTCCCTTGCCCAAAACTTTTTAGCCATTTTTTCAGCAAACCAGGTACTTTATATCTATTAAAGTATTTTACTATGGGGAGAGGGGGAGGAGATTTCATGTGTTTGTGACAGCAGCAAGAAGGTCAAAATAATTTGACTCACAAGGAGTTGTTTTGAATTTGGCGATGTGTTGAGAATATTTAAAGTAACATGCATCCAAAATTCAGATTATTGTTATAAGTCCTGCTTTGCCATCCTGAGCAGAGTTACATCCTTCTAAGTCCACAGTGCAACTAAAAGCACTGTACTATTAGTGTCTTAAGATGGGCAGAACCATCACTTATGAAGGGTTACCTGTATTGTCATGTTGCTACAGGTAGGCACTAACAAGGACCTGGTTTATATATGCAGAAGAATGTGGAAGTGGTGTGTTGGATCACACTACTTCAGACTGTAGGTGCTGGGTTCCAAAACATACCCAAAGAACTCCCCAAAACCCTTGCTTTAGACAGAAAAGGAGAAGGGGTTCTAATCGAATTTTCGCCTCCTGTTCTGGTTTTCTGTTTGCAAGGAGTTTTTAAACACAGGTCAGCACCTGCTCCCCGAAGTGGTACAGTCCATTTCTTCCAGTGTGGTGTAGTGATTAGAGTGGGACTGAGATCAAGGTTCAACTTCTAACACTGCCACAAAACTCAGGGCTGACCTTAGTCTCATCACCCTCTTTTAGCCTAAACTACCCTGATGCTGGGAAAGACTGAAGGTACAAGAAGACGGGAACGGCAAAGATGGTTAGACAGTGATATCAATGCAACGAACATGAAGTTGAGCAAACTCCGGAGGGCAGGAGGGCCTGGCATGATGTGGTCCGTGGGGTCGCGAAGAGTCAAACTTGACTGTGTGACTGAACAACAACAACAACCTCACAGGGTTGCTGTGAGGATAAAATGGGGAGAAGAGATGCATACACCCCCCTATACCACTCTGAGCTCTTAGAGCAAGGGAGGAGTAAAAGTATGATCGACAGATAGCATCTCTGCACTTGGCCACCTTGCTGCTGCATTGGCAGACGAGCTCTGGCTTTGGGTCGTGCATTTAAGATGTGATGCTGAATAAGATCCTTATATCAGATCTGCACAGGGTGTCCCTTGAAACCAAAAACAGTCAACTTCTGTATTTAATGTTTGCTTGGGATTGGAGAAATTTGGGGGAGGGAGGGATATTGGCAACCACACTGGTATCAGGAGTAATGTTCCCTCTAAGCTGTGGAGTCCTATGAGCAAAAATTCAACTTTGTGAGCTACTGGCATTAGAATTGTGAGCAAGCTATTTGGCTACTGCATAAATTAGTTCGCTCTGGAGCCATCCTTCCTGAGCTAAGACAAAAGCGTGTGAGCCGGAGGCTAAAAAACTGTGAGCCAGCTCACACTAACTCAGCTTAGAGGGAACATTGATCAGGAGTCATCTTCATGCACCCCCTGACAAGACCCGCATCTCAGCAGGGGGCTCATTGCCAGTCCCTGGGCCCTCCTGGCCATGCTGATTCTCCTCTTTCAACTCACGGCTTCCAGACCTGCCCTCTTAGGCTTGGTTCACACACGCAGGGGAATGAAGTGGCAGCCACCTCATGGACTTCACTGTTTTCAGGTGGAGGATCACATTTTGGAATGCTTGTTACAACCCCGCCCCCCTCCCAAAATAGAAAACCAGACTGGCAAGCCCATGGAAAGGAAATAGTCTTCTTTATTCTTGGTGTGTTGGTTTTCTGTTCAAGGGATTCTTTTAAGACGAAGCTGGAAAACACCTGCTGGTGCAGTCCATTCTAGCATCTCAGGGCTCTGCTGCCTCATTACCACCTTAGTCTCTTGCATGTGTGATCCAGGCCTACCAGCGAATTCACAGTTGCTAGAGGTAGGGGCAGCTACCTCTGTCCACCTGATCCTCTCCTTCTGGGCAACAGGAAGAAGGAAAAGGGAATGAAAGAGGGCTCACACAGACAGGGCGGCCTGCTGGGGGCATTGCCCATGAACCCATCCACTCACCCAGATTTGGAGCTGGTAGTGCCTGCAGACCACCGTTCATGACTGGAGGCTGCATTTGCCTTGGCTGGTCACAGAGGGTGTGAGCCTATACTTGTGTGCATCCTGAGTGTATTATTTCAGAACCAGGGCCCTGATTTACAGTAGATAAGTGAGCTTCTTGTCACATCACATATTGACAAGTGCCTAGTGGTATATTTGAGTTCCAAAGAATCTCCTTGCATCCTTCTGGAAGGCTAATGGTGAATCTCTCCAATTTGCATCCAATAACTTCCCCCACACCCCTGCTTCTCCTCCTATAATTGGATGAGCTTTTTAAAAAATCCATTACAAGCAAAAAAATTTAAAAAAAAACGTTGCTGCTCCATAGTACGTTTATCTGCTGAGCTGGTTATCTGTCCCAGCAGGATCTGAAGGCTTTAATAGCCGTGTTATAGATCATGCAATATCACCTTAAATAATAGCGGAGGGTAATGAGAGAGTTTTTTGTTTAATGGGGACAATTTTATTCAAATTACTTTTCCATCACACACATTTATCGCCACAAATTAGACTTCTCAAAAGCTGGAGGCTGATAGAGCCCCTGCCGAGTGAGTCTTAAATATTGTATAGCAACTTTCCGGATTGTCGCTGACGAACCTCTCAGCAGGGGCGAACTGGGATGTTAAAACAGCTCAGGCGAATTCCAAACTGTGCTGCCTCTGTAGTGCTTAGTATCTGAACCCCACGGACTGTTTGGCTCAAACCTGGCTGATTGGCATTGTAGATGGGCTGGGTCTGAGCCAAGCAGATCTGCTGGTGCTGGTGGGCTCAGCTTGGTTTGCTCCTGGTCACCAGCGGTCCTCTGGGGCTGAGACCCACCTGGGCCATACCCAATAAATGGACAGCTCATTCTGCCCAGTACACAGTGATCTAGGGTAAGTATTTGGTAGCAGGTATTTTGGGGGAGGAAGTTTGTGCAAAGTATGCCTTTTGGGGCAATGCCTGTGGATAGGCCATAGGATTTTGGATTGGACAGGTAGGACAAAACTATTTGATAATCTGCAATACAAATCCTAACTGTAGCCAGCTGAGGACCAGAGGTTCTGCTGGCTTTATTTAGAAGGCTTTGCTGTGGAAAATTGCCGGATGTTGATGCATTACGTTTTTTGTTTTGTTTCTAGGGAATATAAGCAAAAAGTGTACAAGTAGAGGTTGGACAGACATATTTCCAGATTTCCTGCTGGCTTGTGGATTTAAAGATATCGATGAGACCAGCACGGTAAGGCTGCTAGTTTAGTTGCAAAACTATTGAGGGACAATATGCCCTAGAATGTGCATGATGTTTCCATTGCATTGGTAAGAAGAACCCAGTGCAAAAATTTCACAGCAGTGTTCCTTTGGATTTGCTTAATTGTTTCCTCTTTCTAATCCTCTCAGTCCCTTCCAAAATGGAAGCCAGTGACATTAGAAATATTAATTTTAAAAAGCAATTAAAGTCAATTAAACATGAATGCCAGAGCTGTACCCATAACAATGATTACAGCTGCTGGAAAGCCAACATAAACATTGTCTCTGTAGGACATCATTAGTGTCTGTCTTAGAGATCCTAATCGAAAAACAGAGGAGGTAGTCTCCTACAGATGTTGGACAGGACCCAATCCACCCAGGTTTTTTAGATTAAAACCAGCAACTTGAATTGGACGTGGAGGCAATATGAATGCTGGAATAGTGGTAAAAATGTTTTAGAGCTGATTTGCTTGTCCTATAGGCTCATGTCTTTACTATAGGAGTGAGTTCAGGTGGGTAGCTATGTTGATCTGAAGCAATAGAACAGATTTGGAGTCCAGGGGCACCTTTAAGACCAACAAAATTTAATTCTGGATATAAGTTTTTGTGTGCATGCACATATACTTATACCCCTATACCCACTGGACTCAAACTTTGAAGGAGTGGGGTCAGTGGTACAGCTGAATTAACCCTACAGAGCTTTTCTAGTATCATGGTAAATTTCACTACAGGCCCAAAGCACTCTGTGTGAGTCTCAGTCAGAGTCTGTCTGTCTGTCTGTCTGTCTCTCTCTCTCTCTCTCTCTCTCTCAATATTTTTAATTCTCAACATGGCCACATCTGTAGATTCTTAAAACCAAAGATTGAAGCTGTGGACGGACAAGACAGATCTTTCTGCAAACTTGAGAAAAGCCCCAGGTTTACAGAAAAGTCTGAAATCTAAAAAAAAATATCATTGGAGGTTAACCCCACCCCTAATGATAGAAACAGCACCTATAGCTTTAAGAAATGAATGCTCCCAATGGCTGTTGCTAGGCACCCACAAGAATATTGCCAGCATTCAAGCCTTAGTTTCTGTCAGCAAAAGGCCAAGGGAGGGGGGGCAGGGTCTTTTTAGGGCTATTTTGTTCTTTGGCTCATTGGGACCAGGCCAGGCAGCAACCACTGGGAGATTTGCTATCATCTGACTTCCATGACTCAACTCGGCCTGGCGGCTTTCTGCTGCTCAACAGCATCCACCCCACAAAAGCCTCTGTGTTACAGTGGTTAGAGTTTCAAATTAGGATCTGGGAGACTTGTATTTGGAATCACTGACGCAAGAGCTCACATGGTGACTTTGAGCCAGTCGCACACGCTCAGCCTAGTCTACCTCAGAGATTTGTTATGAGGATAAAATGGAGAATGATGTGAGCTGCTTTGGTCCCCATTGTGGAGAAAGGTTGAGTATAACTGAAGTAAATAAATAACAAGTATAGCTGATGATGGGAAGATGATAGAAAGTAATTTGGCTGGTGGTGGGTGCTGAGGAGAAGAAAGCAGAGAAAGGGAACAGGCGCTGGAGGCTTTCAGGGAAGGGAAAGAAGGGGGAGGGGAAAACAAGATACCCCCTGCAAGTCCTTCCAGATCCCTCACTTATATGTGTGTGTATGTGCTTATGTAAATACACAGGTCCCATGAGCCCCAGTGAGCCTTTCTTGGTGCTCCCTTTTCACTTCCCAAAAAGCTGTTGTGATCCACTTTATATACACATCACACATTGCACGTGTGTGCATGCATGCTCATGCACATTGCATGTATATAATGAATCATGAATGTTGTAATATTACATTAGATAAATTAACTTGAGAAGGATACCCAAGTGCAAACAATAGAACTTCTTATCTGTCTTCATACCACATTAGTTATTTTCTAAAGAGAAGTGTATGAATGAAATCCATTGGGACTGCTTTCAGGAAAATATGTTTAGGACTGGGACCACAGTTACCCTCGGGACTGCATCAACGGTTATGCTTCCTGGCTTAGAAGGGGTCTCTGCAAAAGGCAATTCAGCAGCATGGGTGGGATTTCAGAAGCACTTGACCTTCAGGCCATCTGCATTCTCATGTAACATTCAACTTGCAGCTTGTGTCTTCTGTAAGATGATCCCATGTGCATGGACTGATGCATTCGAATCTTACCAGAATGGGATATGTAGGTTTCCTGCTTCAAGCATTATATTAGAGATAGGAATTCAGGAGAGACTCTTACTTCTGGGTGCCCAGCAGGGTTGTGCACATTACACAAAATGAGGTGATAGACTGAGGGGTGGAGTTTTGGATTGTATCATTTCAGACTGCAGGCATGGAACTGCGTTACTGAATGCTTCCCCCATACAAAAATGTCTTGCATGAAGAAAACTAGCTCATCAAGATAGAAGGTGCAGCATGGCTCTCTCACTGCTTAGTCCATGCAAGAGTTTGTTTGTTTGATTTTAATGACGGGAGCATTCAAGGACATGCCACATTCCAGAAACAGACCGCCATATTTTGCTGTGTCATTTGTACAATGACTCTATCACCCAGTTTATATGCATTGAACAATGAGAGGTGAGGTGAGGACATAGGATGCACTGTACTACTACAGACTACAGGTGGTGGATTCCCGCTTTGGAAGATCTTCACGCAAAAGACTCTCTGCTAATAGAAAACCAGCACGGCAGGGAGAAAGGTTCTACCACCTCACTTGGCTTAGTGAGCTGCTCTTCTGTTTGCAGGGAGTTTTTTTTAAACAGTGGAACATTCCCAAATGTAGTCCTCCTCCTTCAAGTCTGAAATAGTGCTGTCCATTCTGTCATCTCAGGCACTTCATAGAATCACAGAATCACAGAGATGGAAGGGGCCATCTAGTCCAACCCCCTGCTCAGTGCAGGATCAGCCTAGAGCATCCCTGACAAGAGTTTGTCGAGCCGCTGCTTCAAGACTGCCACTGAGGGGGGTCCCACTATTGCGCAACTAGCCGATCCCACTATTGCGCAACTCTTACTGTAAAAAAGTTTTTCCTAATATCCAGCCAGTACCTTCCTGCCCTTAATTTAAACCTGTGATTGCACCAACAGCTCCCTGCCCTCCTCTAAGTGACAACCCTTCAGATACTTAAAGAGAGCAATCCTGTCCCCCCTCAACCTCCTCTTCTCCAGACTAAACATTCCCAAGTCCCTCAGCTTTTCCTCATAGGGCTTGGTCTCCAGGCCCCCGATCATCCTCATCACTCTCCTCTGCACCCGCTCCATTCTGTCCACATGCTTTTTGAAGTGAGGCCTCCAGAATGGCACACAATACTCCAATGCAGTGTACAGCGGGACTATGACATCTTGCAATTTGGATGTTATGCCTCTGTTGATACACCCCAAGATCACATTAGCCTTTTTTGTCGTCGCATCACACTGGCAGCTCCTATTTAACCTATGGTCCACCCTTACCCCAAGATCTTGTTCACACACACTGCTACCCAGAAGTGTATCCTCCACCCAGTATTCCCCTGGATGTGACAGCCTGACCTGAGAATGACTGAGAATCTAGAACTTGTGGCCTGTGAATACATCATGTTTTGTGTGTGCCTTTGTACCTGTGACCCCTTCCTTAATAGATCATTTAGATCTTTTTGGCAGAGACTGCAGCCCTGTTTCTCCTGTGAGTCAGGACAACTAAAATTAGCTCCCTTCTGGACTTTCTCATTCTGACTTGTCAAAGCCCGCATGCTTCTTATATACGCAGATAGCAGCTGTCCGTGGGCTTTTAAAGCTTTTTCCATTTTAAAGAATGGCTACTTTCTAATTGCACACACAAACACACTCCTTAGAACACGAAAATTCAAGTGTGGATTTCATTGATTAAGGGATTTTAAGAGGCTAACAATAACAAAGTTCTCAATAAAACTCACCGGAAGCATTCTAGTTCTTCCAGCTGCTGAGCATACGTAGTACTTCTGAGGTATTAATGTTATCAGAAAACTTGCAGCCTCGTGGGAATGTTCCTGCTTTATGTGCAATGCGTGCTACATTTATACTGGATTAATTCCTGCATAGAGACTGCGGCCTTATTATTAGATAAAAGAATTTTTTTTAAAAAGACTGTCTCCCTGCATATTGCTCCATGGCAGTTTACAAAACTACATCACTAAAAGAAGGAAGGCTTATAATTTAGGCCACTAATCTTATTTAAAAATACAAACAACATAATAAAACACAGCAGCCTTGTAAGGGATGAGGGCTGAATGAGCCTATAATTTACTAAGACCTGATGATTGGGTCATAAGTTTGACAGGATCCATCCTTGGAGGAGGAAGGTAGCCTGGTGGAGGTAATTGCCGGCAGCTGCAAGCCTTGGTTATCTCAAGGGAGTGGCAGTAGCCCAGATCAGGAGATGCTGATTACCTTTCAGGAGGCACCAGAGTATCCTTGGACATTGAGTTGATAAGCTGCCTCAGGAGATGGAACTGGATTCTGTTCTATGGTGATTCACTACTGAACTGTCTCAGAGGACTTGTCACATAAGAAGCTGCAGCTTCTCTTTTTAGAATTGCCAACATAACTTTGCATTTTAAATGTTTTATTGCCGACTGCTCATAGGTTGGATGATTTCTGCACTGCATACATCCTGAGTGTTTGAATGTTTTTATTCAATTAAATGAAATAAGCTTTTTAAGGATATTTGCTGTGTGTTGAGAGTTTCCTGTCTGCTGGCTAGCTGCAATCTTATCTATTGAAGCGAACCCCAAGGTCAGTCAGACCTGACAAGCCTAAAAATCATCAAGCCCCCCCCAAATCAGATAGCATCAATCTAGCCTAATAAATAAAGCTAATCAAAATAAAGCTAACCCAGAGCAAAATCCTATGTGAAAAGGAGGATCTTAAGCTGGCACCTAAGGCTACATAAGCTTTGTGGTAAGTAAACTCTTGCATGGATGAAATTCTACGCTAAGGTACCACTGTTAATAAGGCCCTGCACCTGTAGGC